ACATCCTGTAATTGATATTCATGCAAGAAGGTTATCATAAATCTCTGACAAGCTGAATATTCCATTTGCTACCATTGGTTCATTCATTGCAAAGTATTAAAATTCTCAAAAATTTTGAAAAACAAAGAACAGGCGCTCCACGAAAGATTTCTTCAAGATCTTTGAGGAAATTAATTCCTCAAATTAGACAAAATCCAATGGTTACTCATCAACAGTTGCAGGATGATTTGCTTTCATCAGGAATCTGTGTCACTAAACGGACAATAAGCAATGAAATTTTTAGGAACAATCTAAAGTCACACTCCCCTCAGAAAACTCCACTGCTATTGGAGAAAAAAAAAAAAAAAACAAAAAAACAAAAACTAAAACAAAACAAGGATGCCAGGTTGAAATTCGTTTGTGAACATAAGGATAAGGGAAAATTGTATTGTGAAAGAGTATTATGGACAGATGAAACCAAAATTGAGTTGTTTGGACACAATTCTTCGAAATCATGCAGGGAGGAAAGATGGCAATGCCTTCAAACAAAAGAACACAGTTCCAACAGTGAAATTTGGTGGTGGCAGCATCATGGTTTGGGGATCTTTTTCTGCAAAAAGTACTGATAACATATCAGTAATAGATGGTAGAATGAATGCTGCAGCATATCAAAATATTTTGGAAACAAATATAATTATTTCAGTTAAAAACCTTGAACTTCCTCCTGGTTGGATCTTCCAACAAGATGATCCTAAGCACACTGCAAAATCTACTAAAAAATGGTTTACTGAAAATAATGTAATTATCCTGAAATGGCCAAATCAGACTCCAGATTTAAACCCAACCGAAAATCTGTGGTGTTATTTGAAAATTCAAATCCAATCAAGAGCTCCAAACATCCCAGATCTGAAGACCATATGCAAAGAAGAATGGAACAAAATACCAACTAAAATTTGCAAATCATAGAGAACTAAAAGAGGTTGGTCGCTGCCAAAGTGAATAATGGCTATTCTAGAAAGTATTAAATGAAGATTGTTTTTTTTTGTATTGTACAAATACTTTCACCTATTAAAATGGATAAATGGGATTTATTTCTATTAACTAATTTTTTTTCTATTTTCAATGCATATTCAGTTATTACACATCTGTGTACAGTCAATTATATGAAAAGTATGTTTAGTTGGAAATACAATTAAAAATTTGTATCTGTACGAATATTTGTTTCCCCTCAATTGTCTATCACATTCTCCTAAACCTTACATGCAATAACTTTGATATTCAGTATCTTCAAGGTTTAACAGGAGTTTTGAAATAAAAAAAATTCTATTTTCTACTAAGTCATCAAAAAGCTCAATATATAAAAATGGGTGAATTTAGATAATTTGTCAAGTTTAAAAAGGACAAAAATTCTCTTTCTACATCATGACCAAGATTCCACTACTTAGAGGAAAGCAATTCACCTTTGTGTGTGTGTATCTAGTAGACTTTTGATGATGTAAACAAGAAAAAAAAAAAAAAATTATTTTGCCATCATTTTAGGGGCCCAGTAAAAACTAAATTTCAAAATTTCTATAAACCATTCCAGTCTTGAACAGAGGCAAAATTTAATTACCTTAATAAAATATTACTTTGAACTACTTCTAGCCAAGCATTTTGTAGAGAAGGAATAATGAATTGCTCAATGTCTGACACACAAGCACAAAAAGGTGATATTTCAATACAACTACTATCAATCAGAATTACAGCAATTGGTTTTAAGAGAATCATTATCATATAACAATATATGAAACAACATCAACAGGGTTCTTCTGACCTAATTTGGAACAAATTACTTTGATAGTAATAATAATTATCATAATTATATTAATAAATGGGCTTGTGGCCACTTGGATCGAACACTTAATTTTGAGTAAAAAATTTAAAATAAATCTCTTTACTTTAACTGCTGCTTGATGGTGTGTCAGTGTGTACAAAGGTTGGGCTTGAGAAATATAACGTCCAGGATCAGCAGGCCAAATGTTCAATAGATTGTCATTGCCACCACTGGCCAAGTAGGAACCATCTGGAGACCATTTCAAGCCACACACCTCTTGAGTGTGTCCAGCCAAGTTGCCTTGTTGGTGCTGGGCTACACGTACATCATGGTGATGGATATGCCCACTTCGAGAACCACTGCAAGGGGAGAAAAAGAAAAAATTACTAATGAATAATATATACTTTCCAAATTAAAAGAGAGTAAAAGTTTAATTGTTACTAAATGATAAATATTTAATAAATCAATGTACCAGAAAATCCAGCAAAGGGGGGGGGGTATAATTATTTAGAAGATAAAAAAAATAAAAATTGCACTTATTTTGTAATTTACACTGAAGCTAAACAAACATCAAGTTTTCATAGTCTTCTATGTGCTGTGTCTCCTCAGAATGTGGGTGATCATGGCCCTTCACAACCTTCTATCCCATGCAGCTCTTCATAATGTTGCTCTCTTTACTATCCATTCACATAAACTCATCAGATAGGTGACCCACTTGCCTACCCAAGTTTCTCCATTATCTCATGTGAGCATCAAATTTTCCATACCTACCTTTCTCATTATGTGAGACAAATTTCAACTGTCTCTTTTTAATTCAAAGTATGTGTCCTTTTTGTTTTTATTTTCCTTAAGACTTCCTCATTGCTCACATGCTCTGCTCATGACATTCTCTATGTAGAACCAAATTTCTTTTACCAGAAGTCTCCACTTGTGAAGAAATTGTCCAACATTAACTACCAATGTAGCAGGTGATATACAGCAGTACAGCACACTTGTTTCTATAAATTGTTCCCTAAATGTTGAAATAAATTGGGTAATAAAAATCTTAACTGGGAAATTTCAAAGAAACTCAAGAGAAAAATCAGGATCAAGTTTTAAAAATGTGCATATATAAAAAAAGACGGGTTAGTCAGGTGTCAAAATAAAAAGTTAAAATAATGAAGTATCCTGAGAATGGAGGGTAAAACAAAAATATCCTCATTCAAGAGCAAGAATTATAACCCAGTTTGAAATTTTCAGTGTTGCAAAAATGCTTGTAGTGTTTATGTAGAAAACATGTCGCCTGCTATTATTTTCCCCCCCATAACAATTACTGCAGACTCTAATGAGAGTCCGAGTAAAAATGAGGAACACAAAATACAAAACAAACGACAATGCAAGTATTAACAAAAGAATTACAATTAAAATAAAAGAAGAAAACATTTAAAGACTAGTTTCATAAAGTATTTAAATTAGAGAATGTGTTTGTGAAGTGTATGAAAAAGTACAAAAGTGACAAGAGAAAAGCAAGACATTGAAAATGAATATGTCCCAGTGGGAGAGGGGGAGACATTCTTCCAATGTGTGACTACATCTTATAGTCAGAGTTGTAAAAGAGGAAAGAGAATGAGTGAGAATATCATTGCCTACTCAGAAGCTTAAAGACTGCCCCCCTCTAGCAACAGTTTTTTTTTTTTCTTTTTTTAAAAAAGAAAGTCAAGTGGGATAACCCACAACATAAAAAGTTAAAAAGAATTGCTTGATACCAAAAAGTAATATTTTTACTTGTTCTGGCCTAAGCATGCATTTTTGTTCTACAATCAAATCAAATTAAAAACTCGAACAGAAATACCTGCTTAAGATGTGTGAATTCCATGACAGTGATCCAACACGTCCTGAGTGTCCAGTCATTGTTCGGAGCCTCTTTTCCTGGAATACATCCCAGATCTGGAACAAATCAAAATTTGCAATTAATTTCACAAACAGAAAATATGTTGACTCAACTGAAATACAGCATTGATACATGAAACTCTCAAACCAAATATCTTTAACCAGACTGCAAACATTAAATTAAACATATGAATAAAAAAAAGTTCCATCATTCATAAATAGAGTCTTGTAGCGAAAGTTCAAAATACCATTTCCCAGGTGAGAGTTTATCACACAACTACTCTGAAGAGAAATTCTACTTTCTATTTAGAATGATTAAAAGCAGTTTAAGAAATCCAGACCCTTTTCATAATTGCTGTAGACACATTCAAGAACAGAATCAGAGAGACAAACAAAGATAATTGTTCATCTCAATGTCTCCAATTTCTGCGGGACCGGTCTATAAATTAAGGTTTTTTTCTTGTTTGCTTTCTCAGCAAAATTTAAGAAAATTGCACAAAAATAAACTGCCATTAGAAGAAAAAAAAAAATCTGCAACAGCAGCACTAACTAAAAAGCTACAAGATTTCACCCTTTAATCAAAAACACATGTTTATTTTTTTAAATTTAAATTCTAACTCCCCAAGGCAAGAAAGTAGTTAAGTGTTGCACCGTACCCAACTCCAATGTGATTGTGAAGCATAAAAAGTCAATAGCCTTTATATATGTGCAAACTTTGGCATTCAATTTTCACCTATTACAAACCTGAGCTATAATGTAATATCTACCACAACATGTAATGATAATTTTTAAAATACAAGGAAAACATAAAAAAGAGGGGAGGTACAGTTGTTTCAATGAAAGAAAAACGGAAACCGTTATGATTTAAAAACCCACCTTAGCCAATGTCGGTGCATCAGTTAAGCCTAGAACCTAATGAAGGAGGTCGGAAGCAAATATTATTCAACATTTGCTTCTTCCTCGTCAATGCAGTCTATCCAGTGGTGAATATTAAACAGTGAAAAGTGCCAACCAATCATGATCAGCTAATGACCATGTGGCAGACTTATCAATCTACTCTCATACAAAAGGTGAGTTAAATTAGCAGAAATGATGCTTACTTCTATGGCACCTTCACTGGTACCAACTGCCAAAAAGTTGCCCTCTTTGACCCAGGAAACAGAACTAATGTAGGCTTCTGGCCCTTCCATTTCAGTCAGCTGAGTTATTTGCCCTGTTCCAGCATTCCATAAGTAGAGATGACCACCAAGAGCCACTGCAAGTTGGTTGTTCACAGACCAATCAAGTAAATTTAAATCTACAATTAAAAAAATAAATACAAAATACATAAAACATCAATTGAAACATTACCAAGCAGATAAAGTATCAGTCTATGCCAGGTTATGAAAAACTGTTCAATAAATACTAAAAGTGTCTCAAGCTTATTTTCGTTCCAGAGCAGAAAAATGATTCCTTTTACATTCATTTATCCATTTTATCAAAATGGTTTTAATTATTGAAAGAGTTATTCAACTTTAAAAAAAAAAGGGGGGGTATTCAGCAGTTAAACTACTCCACGTAAAGCAGTTGATAAGAACCATTAAATATAAAAGGTTTCAAGTTTTGCCCAATATGGGGCTCTGCAAGCTGTAAATGAATTATATAATTCTAGTCTATATAATTAGTATGCTTAAAGTGTTTCTTTATATATAATCTTATAGGTGTGTCCTTAAGTAAGACCATGTTGGGCTTTACACCCCTGCTGCACATTGTTACTTCTATCACCAAACATCACATCCAAGCCATGGCCACCTTCTTTCTTACCTTTGCAGCAACAGCTGCCACCATCTTTAAACAAAAGAGACATTCTAACATTTTTTACAGATCATCATTTTATAGCTCCAAACTAGCAAATAAGAATGTCATTACTTTTTATTCATCTCCACCCCAACTCTTTGTCAAAAAATAGAATATAATTTTTTTTTTATTTTTATTCTTTTTTATTAAAAGAAATTTGTACTAAGTAACCACACATGGATTTTTATTTCAAGAATTCTTGTCTGACAAAAATTCATTTAGGTCCAATAGTTAACTAGTTTCTTATAGACAAAAAGAAAATGTAATAAAACTTTAGACCCTTAAAAAAAAAAAAAAAAAAAAAAAAAAAAACAACAAACACACCTCTGCCAGTTTCATTCTGATAATTAGTCCACATAACATTTTCTTATGGTAAAGAAATTGCAAGTTATTTTTTTTTTTAGTCTGGCATGAAACTAATCAAATTTTTTTTTTTAAACTTAAAATACAACAAACAAACTTACAATAGTCATCTAAAATTTCAGGAGCATCAAGGATTCTGTCAGGCACCTGTGGAATATGCCTGGTAAGTTTCTTGCCCCGGTCACATTTGCCAGTACTGTACAAAATCTTCAAGTTATTCTGATGGCCTAAAGAGAAAGGAAAGAAAAAATAATTAAATCCTCTGTGCAATAATTCAGATGAACAGATTAATGTCTTACTCAAATCTTATTTTATCCATTTATTATTATTGAACAATTTGATATATTGAAAAAAAGTTTTTAAAGATGCTGATATTAGATACTTGATATTTAAGTTTAGCTTCATCTAATACAATGAAAGACAGGAAATAAGTGTCCTGGGTATAACAAACTGCATCTGACAGCAAGGCCTCTGATCAGGAGGTTTTGAGGAGCACAGAACCACCTCTTAACTGCTGGTGTTCCCAGATCCACCCTGACCCAGAGTGGTAGCACATGTTAGGGTCCCAGCTATGGGAAAATAGTTAACCCCAAAAATGGGGTTACAACATGTAAAAATAGGTTTTATTACCAGCAATACATTTTTGGAAAATGAAATCTTACCAGAAATACTTTTTTTGAAAAGAAAAAAAAAAAAAAAAATTACCAGCAATAAAAATATTGCTGGCATTTAAATAACCCATTGAGGTTGATATACCCAAAAAAACAAACCAAACAGGAAATAGATGCAATATCCACTTTCATTGACTTCAGTAAAGCATTTGACTCAAGACACTTTTTAGAATACTTGCAGGTGTTCATCATAGCTCCAGAGGAGCTTTCCTCTTTGGTACCTCATCTAGGGCTAGATTGGCAGCTAGGTCCCATCATTTCAGTTAAAATTGCTAGATGTAAACATAAGTTCTATGCTAATACTGTCTTCTGTAGCACTTCTCACTTGGAGGAACTATTTGATATTCAGAAATTTAAATGCAATGTTAATTGTTATCTTGTCTTAATTCCTATTTTTTTTTTTGTTCTTTCTCATCAAGTATTTTTCTTTTTCTCAGTCTTTCACACTCGGCAATGTCTTGTGTCTTAGTGGCTGTAGTGCCCTGCTTGGGGTGAAATTATTTAAGAAATCTTAAACTACTCAGTACAGACTTCTCCAGATAGAGGTTGCAACAAATGCAATAGGATTAGATGAAAAAAAAAAAAAAAAAAAAAAAATTATATATATATATATATATATATATATATATATATATATATATATATATATACACACACACACACACAATTCTTCAAATTTAACTGAAAATAAATTGCTTTTGAGCCACAATGGAAAGTGTGCTGTTCAACAATATTCAAAGCTGAACACATACAGGGATGTTTAGGACTATACCCGTGTCTCTTGAAAAGCACACAAGACAAACAAGGAGCTCAGAGAAAACTGCAACCAACCACTACCGATTATAAGATGGATTTATTGGGTATATTTTGAGGCGGAAAAAAGAGCTGTTAAATAGTCATGGTGGAATCCTAAGCATGGAAAGCAATTTCTGTAAATAGCTCAGAAATTGAATTTACACTGCTAAAAACTGGTAAAATTTGTTTAGAAATTTAAGGCTTAATATTTCGGATACATATCTAAATCACAAGAAAAGATTACTCTCATCCATGAACAAACCTCTGAAAAGAAATTCACTGTTTATAGCATCAATAATGTGATTACGAGATCTTGTAAGCACTTCCAGTCCCACTGGGGAATACTGAGAGCAAACCGATTGAGTAACAGTCTTGGATAAAATAGTTGTAGCATGTTTCATGCAGTGTTTGTGTTGCTTCAGTTTTTCAGCAGACACTCTCATATAGTTTATCTTTCCTCCCTAAACCCAGTGGAACATTTTAACACCCAAGAAAGTGTCTTTCAAACTCCTAACCCATATTTTTTATCAAGTCATTCAAGATTCTGTCTTATTGGCATTCAATCATTTTAGGACAAGAATCATTTTAGATTAAGTAGCAACAAACCACACTGGTAAACTTGAAATGTCTTTGGTTCAACAAATTGGGGGAGAAAAAAAAAATATTTACCTTCTGGTGCATTTGGGGGCTTTGACTTGTAGGAGATTATCTTTGAGTTGAGAATCTCCCCATTCAAATTTTCATTCATGATTTTCTGGTATTCCTGCTGAGAAGGGCTCATCATTGCCTGGTCGGTTGTGGCTATATTCTCACTCATCACTTTGTAGTAACCCAGTTCAAACTGAGTGGATGCTCGGTTTGGAATGAAACGGTCACCGGCAGATGGGGTCTTGGGAGTCTTTAATTGTTTCTTTGATTTACCAGAAGTAGATTTGCCTGAAAAAGATAAAGAATTTAATAAACTCAATTTTAAAAAAAAGGTAAGAACATGAGGATTTTTTGTTAATTTAAGAGGCAAAAATCTATGCACCATAACAAGTGAATGCAAACTGAAAACAATTTATATCGGTGAGGAAAAAAAAAAAAAAAACCCTCCAGGTATTTAAGCTACACTTCAATTACTGTATTTAATAGAATAGAAAATTTTTCTCAAATAACACTGCATTTTACATACAACATGACTTTACCTTCAATAATCACTTCTACCCAACTTGTCTCCATAAAACTTGTACAAATGATATTAGTTCATAAGAATAAAATTCAGTAGGCACCCATTTATCTCGCAAGGGTAGTGTCTGATTTGGTCAAAATTCAATCCTTTGGCAGCAAAACTGGATGAAGTGACCTCTCCAGGGCACAGATTTAGGTGATGTTATATAGAGGTCATGCGCTATCCAGATCACATGACCCCTCCCACTCAGCTGTACTGACAAGATCCACAGGAATACAGGTCATTACATTTGGGGATTGGCTTGACTACAGGAGTTGCCTGAAGTTTGTCAAGATAGAGAGCCAACCACCTTCAGGGCTCCACTCTGGATTTTCCTTACCCTTTTCCATGCATGGATAGGTCCACAAAGCAGCAGAGATAGAAGAAAGAAAAAAAAAAAAAAAAAAAGTGTGGGGGGTCCTAAATAATAATCATCATCAATACTATAAAAAGGATTCAGACTACTGGAAACAGTCATTGGCATCTGCTAATCCCTAACACATCAATGTGTCTTAAAACAATTATCATTAACCAGCTGGGTTCTAGAGTGAACATAACGGAAAGTAAATACCAGCAATGGTAAAACCCTAACCTGAGTAATATTAACATTAGGTTAGCAGAGAAATGTATCTGTTCTACAAAGTGGGTAAAGAAGAATGACTGGTGAAAAGGATGTGTGCGTTTACATGTGGTGAATGTAGGGCTGCTTGGTACCAGTAGACACAATACAGGCAGTGCTGGTTGAGTTCATAGAATCTTAGCCTCAACAATATGGCCGCAAAGGGCAAGAGATTAAGCTATAACATTTGCTAGAAACAGCAATTAATAGACTACACAAAGTAGCATGGAAACAGCAACAGCAAGGTTACTACCTGCTGAAAAACATGATACAGGCTCAACAACAGAAAGATCTACAGACAGCTTAAAAAGGAGAAGTAAAAATAAAAATAAGCTTTGGTTAACAACCCTACATTGCCCTAAACATGTAAAATTTAACAAAGAAAAAAAAAAAAAAAAAAAAAAAAAAAAAAACGTGGAGGGTAACTCAAAAGAATTTGGAGAGAGGCGTTTCTATCAAAACAGTAACAAGGCCAGGAGATTAGAACAAACAAAAGACTCAGAGCTTTGCAGGATCAGAAGGCTGGTGTTACCAGTTTATGAAACTGCAGGGGTTAAAAAAAAAAAAAAAGTCCATTGCACAGAAAATAAAGTGATTTTCCAAGTGCAGCTTAGATGTGGCACAAGGCTGAAAGTATGGGTCACCCAGTGAGGATTGAACTCACTACTGTCATAACTGTTCTATCAAGACAAGCTTGCTAACGATTAAACTGCCTCAAGGTGCCCATGCACAGAAAATTAAGTGCACAAAAGTTAATATTTAATGTATCATCCAACAATAAACTTAAAAAAAAAAAAAAAAAAAAAATCCTTTTATTTCTCCCAATCATGAGTCACTGACATGGCAGCGTGTCTTCTAAGCTGTCAAATACAGCCATTTCTCTTATGGTATGTAGTGATTTTTACTTTTAACATATCTGGAAAACTAATTTTATCAGACATGACAGTCCTATAGCCACAAATACTCAATAGGGTAAGAACAACATATTAACTCAAAATGATGGTGTCTTAGTTCAGTGAAAATTGGTTATAAAAGAGTCCATCAGTAAGTCCATGGACAGACAGTTATTGGCCAAATTTTAACCTGAAGCACCCACTGCATGTAAATAATATTTACAACTGAATGAAGATTATGCAGCAATATATTTGTTGTATAAAACAAGTGCTCAAGCTATAGAGACTGTGGACTTATTGATGTACCTTATCAAACATTTATTGTACAGTTTGTTTTTTAACTTAACGAGTACAAATGAATAAATGAAAGATATATTTCATATTTCTGAAATATTTTAAAAATTCTTTCTTGAAACAATACTTTCAAAATCAATAAGAAAAATTCTGGCTAGTATAAAAAAAAAAGGACAGATCGTATAATAATTCAACAATTAAAATGCAAGTCTTTTTGAAGCTGTTAAATCTACAGCAAATAATTCAATCCAAATTATGACAGAAAATTTTCAAACATTGAAGATCAATAAATTACATTGCAATTATTAATACCACATGTATTTTAAAGGTTTTGTAATCAAAACCAACTTCAAACTATAAACATTTGAATTACTTTTACAGCTTAAAAAAATTGGAGAAAGTACAAATGATCCACACAATTCTTTCATAAATAAATACCAAACCAAGAGTTCCCAACAAAGGGATTGGGGAGGGGGGCTTTTTTTCTTTTTTATAGAATTTTATTTATTGAATTAAAGTACCCTGGCATTCTACTGAACTTTTGTTTACTGAAGTATGCTTCAATTTATTTAATAATTAGTTATGAATCAAAACCAATTGCCATATATGTATTCAAGTTTGAAAATACAATATTTTTCTGATATTAAATTTGTCAAATAGATCTATAAAAATAATACAGATAAATAAATGTATATGTACTAATATAGAAAAGAATGAAGATTTTCAATAATATAATCATATTATTCAGAATGCACTTTTTGAGTCAGACAATCTTTGAAGTGAGGGTACGATGTTCTGACTTATGAAAAGGGTGTATTGGGCAGAAAAAGGTTGAGAACTACTATATTAAACATGTTTTAAAATGTTTCTTTCTCCCCCAAAGTCCATTTTACAAAATTCCTTTCTGTGGAGAAGTTACTACTAGGTCAGATTCTATTATCAAAGTCACTGTTGGCAAAATGCCGTACCACAAGTTAGGGCAAATATTTTTTTAAGAGCAGAGACAAACAAAAATTCACTGTATATTATGACATATCCCCAAAATTTTACCAACATCAGGTCTTTAATATCAATTTAGAGATTAAAATATGACCGAGTAAAAAGTAAATGAGTTCTTAAGAAAATTTATATTGTTGGTGGGGGAAAAGATCTATCATTTACTAATGAAGAAAATTGGATTAGAGACTAAAACTAGAAAATTATGGTCAAACATTTTTTTTTTTTTTTTAATAAGTTTCTAATATATGGAATATGCAACTTTAAAGTAATTTCTAAATTTCAAATGAGTAGAATGGGGGTATAAGTTAATAAAAAGCACAAAGTAATATTTGAAACATACTGGGGTGGAGATAAAAATCTTTAAATTTAATGATTTTTTTTTTTTTTTAATACGTATTACAACTCCCAGTTCATTAATAAACAGTAAAAGTAAAAGATTAAAAATCAAGCTTGTCTGTTAAGCACAAATGTTTTATAGATGACCAGAGACCCTCCCAATTTCCAATCCAAGCAATTGATATTCAAAAAAGTTGCAATAAAAAGCTATGAAAATTGAAGAAATAATAGTTGGAGAATAATAACTGAAAATTGGCCCTAGAAAAATTCAAAGAATAGTATTTTTTTTTTTTTTTTGCATATATCCTTACTCTTATTTCCTTGCCATATATAATATTAATTTTTCTTTAAAAATTTAAAAATTCAATGTCAATAATTATCTTGCTTCTGTCTTAATTCCTGTTTTTTTATCATTTTCTTAATGTTTTTTTTCAGATGCTTTCATTCAGTAACCTTGCATTTGGAGTCAGGGTGAAAGGATTAAAAATAAATAAATGGCTTGATTTTGCTTCTTTGTCTAATGGACTCTTTGGTATCTTCTACAAAAGATAAAAGCTTAACTTCTGTACTGCAATGTTACAGTTGATCTCACTCCATTCCCTCAACTGTAGGCATGGACATATATATATGTATATATATATATATAGATAATAAAAAAATGGTGTTTAACCTATTCACCTCTCAAGTATTACTGCTGACTGGTGCTCTCTATATTAAAATGCAACCGAATTAGTCATGCCTAGGTTTGGTTGCATTCTCAGCATCACTACATGTATGCAGTGATAGGAATAGCCAAACAACACACACCAGAAAAGATGTTAGATTTTAGCTCACAGGTTTTTGTGCCAGACACATATTTCAATTGCAGGTAAGGGTTTAAAACATGTCTAAATATGTAAATATATAAACACACATAAAATTCAATTTAATCCATTGATCCTGAGTTGGAACAATTTTTTTTTCAGACCTGATAAAATTAGTGTCCCCATTTAAACATCCATAATAACCCCCACCCCAGAAGAATCACAGCTATAAGTAAAAACAAAAATGATCTAATTGAACTTTAGCTTAAAAGACTGAAATCCTATTTAACAAAAAAAAAAATTAAAAAAATAAAAAAATAAACCATTGTTAAGGACGTTGGTTTTACAACATGTCTACTCTCATTAGCTTATTGTATAGTATTAAACTCACTACTTAATAGCCTCAGACTAGCTTCACTGACCATTATTCCATGCAGAAGGACTATACAGTTTATTCTTAATAATATTAGGCATTATTTTCATATTTAATAATTAATATACATTTTAATCTCCCACCCCTTTTTTTAATATCTAAGCTTTTAATCGAGTAATGAAATTATGCTGATATGCCAAGTTAATGCTTGGGTTAAAAATTATTTAAAAACTGCAGTTTTTACTAAATCTTAAGCATGTGCTAGTAGCAAATTAGTGACAAATTAAATCTAGTGGTTAGACAAGGCAATGTTTCTATTAAAAATGTGCCATGTTTTGAATTTACAAACTACTTTCACATATACTAAAACTTGATATATTTGTCTTTTAAAAAAAATAAAGAAACTCCATGTATTAATAGTATCTTATCATTTGTCTATATGGTTTTCATTCATAATCAAGTTCCCATAATCCTATTAGGGCCATCGGGGCACCACATGTACTACAACTGCAGTTAGCAGTTGGCATATCCTTGGTAAAATAGCTCAACAGAGCCCAACCCTCTCCAAGCTAGTTTTGAATTCAGAATTTTTCACCTTCTATAGTGGTTGCCACCCAAGGCTATAAGACCCAGTCTTCTCTATTTACCTATAGCTAAGGGAAGAAGAGATGAATTCATACCTTTCCCAAGTGTATTAGCATGTAAGTGAATGTAATGAATTCAACTCTACAATTTCTCAATATGATCCACTATCCTTTACTTTTCAGCACTCTGCTATAGATAACAAAATCTAAGTCAAAAGCACTTAATTCTTTATAAGGAATATATATTAACAAATTATCTCATGCTTGGCATTTTCTGAAAGATTTTTTTTTATCTGTGGGCGCTAATAATGATTTTAGTCGCAGGGATATTTTTAGTGTAAAAACAATGTTAAAACTTCAGTTGAAGCTGTAAAACAACCCAGAAAAAAAAATTTTCATTGCCTAAGTTGACTATTATAAAGTTGACATCTAAAATCAGATTTTGTAATTGACCACTAATAGTCAACATGTTAACAGAGTTATAAAAATAATAAATGAAAGCACAATTTTATGTTCCAGAGTAAGAACTGAAAGCTCGAACACTTGTTTGTATGCTAGTGACTGGACAGAACAGACAACAAATGCTATGATCATTCATTTGCAAGTGATGGGATTTCTGTAGGTTAGATTAATTTATTTTTAAATTTGTAAAAAAAAAAAAAAAAAAAAATACACAGCAGTATGATCATTTTATGTAAAGGGAGAGCAATGCTAGTAATGTCTGGAAAATAAGGAGAGCATTAGCCTGAAAAAAATGAGGAAATGATTGAGCAAACAGTCTTACAGACACTCTCCTACTTACAAATGTCCATGCTACAAGCTTTGATAGAATCAAACAAATCTATAAGATGCTATGCTGTCATTTTGACAATTCAAAATCAGCCTTTGTTTTCCATTACCTGCTTGGAAGCAATTGCAATGTAAATTGTTCAAATTGAGTGGCCAAGCTTCAAAATAGTAAACGAACACGTGTTAAAAACACCAACAATAGATCAACAAGCTTTATTGGTGAAAGAAAACACCAATGAAGCAATATAGAAATATTTATAATACATTTTGACATTGGCCAAGTGTCTAAATAATTTAGAGGCAAACAGATTTTTTTTTTTTAAATTCAAGAAAGCATTAAGAATAAGGTAAGGATTACTTTTATTATCACATACTTATGAACATTTGCACAAGACCCCAGGAACCTATTATATACAATAAACTTCAACATACTTTTAGCTAAAGTAAAATTTTGCAGCAGTGTTGTAGAATTGAATAGAGTGTAAAATTTAAATACTAATCCATTCAAAAAACAAAAATCATCTTAAGATTTATGCTTATTTTCACACACACACAACTAAAGGTAATAAACCCATTGATAGACAATCAGAGTGAATCCTAGTTATTATAAAATATTAAAACTGATCTACAAAAAGAGCTCAATATATAACAGAGCAAATAATCAACACAAAATTCACCTCCTATGAGGAATAAGCTTATTTCAACCGAAAAAAATAAAATACATCAGTCTTATTCAACCCCAGTAAAGTTGGAATTAGAAATTTAACTGTGAAAAGGTTAAAAAAAAAAAAAAAAAAAAAAAAAAAAAAACAATTTATCCACCACAATGTTTCAGTCAAACAAAAGGCACAGGCCAGTGGAAGATATTAGTCTTAAAGGAAGCAGGTTTTTCCCATATATATATATATATATATATATATATATATATATATATTATAGAGAACAATTTTTGGGGAAAGATGTATGACAAAGTCAAAAGAAAACACTTTACTAAGACAAAAATGCCTAGAGAGTGCTTTGATTTCAAGGTCATCCACAGTAAATCTGCACCCAGACTTACAAAATCTCACCATTCCTGGCAGATCTCCTATTATCACAGTGTGGGATATCTAGTAACAAATGTGATAGAAACAAAATGCAATCAGCTAGATTGCATACCCAAAAATCAAAAGATTTAAAATTCCATTCACATGAACAACTCAATTTTTTTTCAACTTTGAGATATATATATATATATATATATATATATATATATATATATATATATATATTTTAAATGACGTTTTAACATTTAGATTGTAAAAATAAAGAAAAAGGTAAATAAAAGAAATGTTAGATTCCTATTTTTAAAACAGCATGCCACTTTTTGAAGCATACACAATGGAATTGTCTATTTTTGCTTTCTGCAAGAACTATCCATGCAGCTTTTGGCTTGTTATTTCAGGTTTGCAGGCAAATACTCAAAAAAAAATAAAAAAAGTAAATAAAATGACGTAACCTCACATATCTCAGAGTTGCCAATTAGTCATTTAAACTTGAATCAAGTATGAATGATGCCTGTATATATCTGAGAAGGGATACACAGCAAGCCAAAATTTAAGCAATTTTCAGAAAATAGGCAAAGTGAATTGTCCACCCTCCCACACACCCAAATGAAAAATGGCCAGTCTTGCGACACTATTTCCATGGAAAATTGACAATCAGCTTCATTTCAGACCTGCCATGACAAATATACTGGGACAAAATCATCCCCCCATTTCCTTCATATTCCATTAGTAAGAAAGGATGTCCTTTTTGGACAGCTTTTTTCCCCCCAAGAACTGCTGCTTTGTGGAAGAGACTCCCGAGTGGATGCTTCCCCAATTGCTACAATCTTAAGCTCTTCAAGTCTAGAATCTGCCATTAGTTATCCTACATGCTATCATAATCTACACTTATTAGCCCTTCCTCTTATTCATGCAAAGACCTCATTCTGTAACCCTTTGCCTTGACTGACTAGTGGGGGAGAGGGAGACTTGGTAAAAAATAGTAAAAAAAAAAAAATTATCTCATCTGTACTTTAAAAAAAGATTTTTAAACAAGACATTAAGGTAAGCATAACTTGTGAGGGTGGATTTTTTTTTTTTAAGGGTAGAGTGCATTCCTATATCCCTGCCTATATATGACAAGTTATCAACATTCTCAATAGTAGCAGAAAGTTTTTAAAAAGACATTAAGGAAATACGAGACATTTAGCAAAAATAGTATATATTATAAACAAATAAAATGGAATGGACAAGGGTGAGTCTTCCAATTACCATTACTTTTTGGTGTTTTAGTTGCTACAGGGGTTTTATTCTGGGAGAGAGACTTCATTGGTGTTTTCTCACCCACCACGCTACAATCATTTGATATATTTGTGACACTTCTGTTTCGGGATTCACTGAGCTTTTTCGGTCTCCGCTTGTCAGAGGCCACCGGCAAATCCATGCGGATGGAATGGTTTAATTCATTCTCCAAATTGAAGTGGGCCATTGTAGCAATAACTAAAGTGGAAAAAATAAAATAAAATAAAATTTGTTGTAAAAGGAAAACAAAGAGATGGAGAGAGAAAAAAAAAGAAAAGAAAAAAAAAAAATTGTAATTTTTTGTTTAAACATTTGTAAACGAAAGAAAAACTAAACAAAAGAGTTCTTTCCCCAAAATATTTTATGCTGTTTATAATTAATTAATAACCTAATAAAGCCTATTCAGCAATAATAAATCTATAAAACTATCAATTATATTTAAATTTGGAAATGAAATAGTTACAGCAAACAGTGTTTCCTTAAAGTTAAATATTTAAATTAGCTCATATATATACTGAAAACTTAACCTATCATCACAAAATTATAAATAAAAAAAAACATTTGAGCAAAGGGGTATATCAATATTTTTGTAGAGGTGTTAGCTCTTCCCTTACATCATTTTTCAGAACAAAAAAAGTTATTTTTTTTTTTAAAATCATTTTAGGTGGTGCTTCCATATTATCAGTACAGTATAAAATCAATTGTGGCTTTTAGAGTTAGCTAGACTTAGATGTTATTTGCAAATGTCAAATTTAACATTGTGCTTACATCATTGATATGTACACCAAAAAAAACTTTTACAAAATTTTTTTTAAATAAAGACAAAATGGAAACACAACTGGCTTGATAGAATCCCTTAGAGAACTAAATGCAGAGGTTAAGATTTCCTCTTCATCATAATTTTATATTTTATAGTTTTATTTTAAGAAAAATGTAAACAAGCAATAGCAGTTGTTTGGGGAAAGAATTGTAAAAAAAAAAAAAAAAAAAAAAAAAAAGAGATACTTGCCTCTAAAGAACAAAACATACTTTTAATTAAAAAAAAAGCTTACCAATGACGTGTAAGTACCTTAAATAAGCTTGACATTTATAAACTAAGACCAAATAACACTATGCCAATATAACAAGATCAGGTTTTTTATATTTTGTTCATATGTTATTTCTATAGATACAAATAACAAACAGAAAATATATTAAATTTTCAGACTTAGTCCATTATATATATATATATATATATATATATATATATATATATATATATATATATATATATATATATATATATATATATTTTTTTATATTACCACCCACAATTTTTTTTTTTTTTCTTTTAACTCGTGGACAAGTCTAGTGCTTGTATTTGTCGACAACATGAATTTTTTTTAAACCAAACAAAGTTGAAGGTGGGGGGATATGTTGAATTCAAAAGAATTAACCTGAATCATATACTCAACTTTCTGAAAACATTTGACCTGTTTTTAAGAGAAGGTCACACTATTTTGCCTTTATGGGAAAAAAAAAAAAAAAAAAAAGGTAACTATCAGTTTTTCTATGGCTGTAAAAATATTTTTATATAAAATTTGCATTTTTATAGATGTAAACAAACAAATATCTTTCATAAACTTAATTTACAAATTGTTATCAGTAACACTTAACACATTTTTTATCTGTTGTAGTAAGTTCATGAGATGGTAATTTGGACAAATTTTTTTTTTTTTTTTTTAAATCATATCACTCCATGAAAGGCAGTTATGCCACTAAAATGAATAGGGATTACAGTGTGCGGAAGAATTAGGAACAGAAACAATAATGACGAGCAGAAAGAGAAGAGAGTAACCAGGAAGACAGTAGATAGCGATTGATATTGCATTTTAATTTTTGCAGATTAAAGTTAGCTGGAAATCATGAAGCCAGAAGGGAGTTTCACAAGCAAGAGAAGAAACTGTTAGCATAGAACTTACAGCTACATCTAACTAGCTCAACAGTAAATTGACGAGATCTTGACACCAGTCTAGTACTGCGCTTAAATTAAAAAACTCAGTACCATAGCAAAGAGCTCATACGAACAATTACCAATACCATTAAGGTATTTATAGAAAAGACACAAGGAGGCAACCTTACAGCAATGGGAAAGTGACTAAAGCCGAGCAGCCAGATCAGGACCAAAGATGACTGGTGTTCTGTCACTGACCTGACGTTATCACCGACGGTTCTCAATTACTCACTGCCAAATAGGTGAAGAACTGAAGATTCTCAATATTTATGGTGATTAGGAGGCTCAGAAATATCATGGACTTAGACTTTCCCTATCCAAAATTCCTAGCCCTTTCATTCATTAGAAAATATATTATCTCTAAGAACAAGTCTTTGGGGGCTCCGACAAGGGTCCAAGCTGCGATCACCTTCTCCAAATTTCATGGCACCGTGGACAAGATAAAAAGGTGTTCACTTTATTTTCCCGGTCTCTCATTTGTCGGACATCCGGATTTGAAAGCGCTTTAAGGTAATGTCAAGCATTAGAAGCTAGAACGTGAACTTGTAAAAAAAAATAAATCGCGGTTCTCAAATTAAATTCTAGCTTTTCCTCAATTTTTTATTGCTATTTTTGTAATCAGGCTTTTTTTTTTAACAGGAATTGCTAGTTTTTTTTTTAATTTGCTATTCTGTGCGTTCCAGTAAATTGGTAAATTACAGAATCAATTAAGATTGGTAATATCTTCTGACCTAAAAAAAACGGTAGGGTTTCGTTTCCTCAATTTTTTATTGCTATTTTTGTAAGCTTTTTTAACACCAGAATAATTTTTTTTAAATTAGTCACTGGGGCAGTATCTACAAATTTACCTAAAACTTTAAAACCACCTGTGCTATTTATTTAAGCACAGGTGGTCATAACTTTCATGAAAGTTTTAAAAAAATTGGACGAAAACTCTTTAACTTAATAAAAGAAAGAGGAAATGTTATCAATGTATGTATTTTAAAAATAAATGTTCAAATAAAAAATAATAATAAACTGAAAATAAGACTGCTTCTGTGTGTGTTAAATACCCGTTACTTAGATACCAGTCGTTTCCCATAAATAAAAGTAAAAGCTGGGTCAGTTTAATTAATAAAATTAACTTTAAATTTTCAGTAATTAAAATAGGAGTTACTTGAAGAAAACCCCCCCAACCATAAATAAATTAAACTTTATATAAAAAAAAAAAAAAAAAAAAAGACTTATTTCCCAGAGAATACATTCAGGGAAAAAATTGCAAATAAAGTCCAGATTAAATTGAGAAAAAAAAGACATCACGTTTTTTTCGAAGGGGGGGGGATTAACTTTTCTTTTTTTTTTCTTTAAGCTTTGGAAGATTTGAGTCACCAGCAATAATTTCCAAATATTTGGGATAATAAAAATATAATTCTAACAATCTCAAAATAGACTGGAAAAAACTCAAAAAGAAAGAAATTCAGTTAAAAAAAATCCATCAAAGCAAAGAATCCATAATTTTTATATTGCTTCTTACCCCAGGGTTAACCGACATAGAGAAAAAGAGCACCCTGTTTCAATTCAAATTGAATTTAAACGATTCCTAATTTGTATAGGATTTCAAATTGAATGGGACAAAGACAAAATTAAATTTAAAAAAAAAATTACCTCTGTACCGTAATAATTGTTACATTTGTTCATTTCTTCATAAAAAATAACTGCTATTTAAATGGGACAGAGATAACTCACTCAGATTTAAATTTGAAGACGGTACATTTTTATTCGCTTGCGTTAAAAAAATTAAAAATATATATTAATTAACCATTTAAAAAAAAAAAAAAGTCTTGAACTGATGTGATTTTCATATTCAACACCAGAAACGGTGAAAAAAAAAAAAACAAACATGACAGATGAGTTATTTAAAAAAAAATAAAATGAACTTTCACAAATTGAAAAAAAAAAAAAAAAAAAAAAAAGCATTTTAAATAAAATATTAAATTATTAAAAAAAACTTTTGAATAGTAAAAAATAAAATACAAGTAAAAGAAAAAAACTTTTTTTTCAGTTTTCAATACCTTATTTTTCACTTCTGGAGTCAGTTTTGTTTTTTTGTTTTGTTTTTTAGCAGCATTTTTTATATATATATACATATTTTATTTTCTAAAATAAAATTTGCGTTTAATTTTAAAAAATGTAGACATTTTTTTTTTCTGATATTTTTTAAATAAATAAAAAAAGCAGTCGAGTATTGACCTCCAGGCGAATGAATGAATGACTTTAAAAACCTTAAACAAATAACTTAGTTGCAATGATCTCTAAATTAAACCTAAATAAAATGCGGATATTAAACTTAATAAAAAAGCACTTACTTGTATTTACAGCAGATTAAAATAATTAAAAAAAACAATGCCGACGCCGATCCAAACTTATATTTGGTAAGCAAACTGGCAAATATGAACTGCTTTCTAGAACTTGAAAAATTTTGATTGCTGATTGGTCAAAACGTTCTTGATTCTTGTTGCTGATTGGTCAAATTTAATTGAAATATTTGAACAGATATAATTACCCACCCACAAAATTTTTTTTTTTTTTTTTTCGTGGACAAGTCTAGTGCTTGTATTTGTCGACAACATGAATGTTTTTTTTTAAACCAAACAAAGTTGAAGGTGGGGGGGATATGTTGAATTCAAAAGAATTAACCTGAATCATATACTCAACTTTCTGAAAACATTTGACCTGTTTTTTAAGAGAAGGTCACACACTATTTTGCCTTTATGGGGAAAAAAAAAAAAAAAAAAAAGGTAACTATCAGTTTTTCTATGGCTGTAAAAATATTTTTATATAAAATTTGCATTTTATAGATGTAAACAAACAAATATCTTTCATAAACTTAATTTACAAATTGTTATCAGTAACACTTAACACATTTTTTATCTGTTGTAGTAAGTTCATGAGATGGTAATTTGGACAAATTTTTTTTTTTTTAAATCATATCACTCCATGAAAGGCAGTTATGCCACTAAAATGAATAGGGATTACAGTGTGCGGAAGAATTAGGA